AAATTGCTTTATTGAAATAAGGATGTTCTTCAAGTTGGACAGAACCATAAGACAATGTCTATATTAACATTTGTTTCACACTAAGAAAACAGCCCAGAACTGCAGAACAGTTTATTTTAATTAGGAAGAGGCACATATTTGTACTATCGTCATCTGATTAGTATCAACATACCAATCTTATTCCTTATATACGTGATACTTTCTTTAGCAATTATTCTTTTAACTTTCTTTAGCAATGATTCTTTTAACTTCTGTTTTGATAAGATGATGTACACTTCCATTTTGTTGACATTGTAAATGAGACAAAACACACATTGGCTTGTGTTTTGCTATAGCATTAATCTTCTGTTCGTTGACATTCAGCATCATTAGTAGTAAAGCAATTATGTTTGAAATGGACATCGAAAGCAAATGAGTTAGTTTACCTTTTTGTAGTTGTATTTATTTTGTCCACTAAGGAGGGCTGTCACGTAATCACAGTTAATTTAAACAATTATCTCAAAACAAATTAACTCAATTAAAATTAATAATGATTCAATGCAGTTTGAATCAAACTATTAATAATAGAATACCAATTGAAATATTGTTTTGGCTTTTTTCTTTTTACATTTTCTAATATATTGATTTCAGTTACAACATAGAATACAAACTATACAATGCTCACTTTATTTTTTATTACAAATATCCATGCTGTCCTGTGGAATGGTGGCAAAAACATGAAAGGGAACACGAATATTTAGCATATCTGGCACATAAATACCTTTCCATTTTGGCAGTGCCTAGTCTCACTTTCAGGTGACATTGTAAGTAAGAAGTGGGCAGTATTATCTCCAGTAAACTATTTTATTTTTACTTATTAGCTGAACAAGAAGTAGCACTGAGTGGACTTGTTTTGTTTTTGAGTGCAGTTATATAAAAATAATAATTCTATATTTGTAAATTTAACATTAGGATACAGAGATTGCATTACAGTACTTGTATGAAATGAATTGAAAAATAACTATTTTACAGTGCAAAAATTTGTAATAAAATGATATAAAATGAGCACTGTACACTTTGTATTCTGTGTTGTAATTGAAATCTATATTTGAAAATGTAGAAAACATCCAAATATTTAAATAAATGGTATTCTATTAACAGTACAATCAAAACAGCAATTATTCACACTTTTTAAATTGTTTGACAGCTCATGTTTTCATAATATTTAAATATATTTGTTGCACTTTTTTATAATGGGAGCAACATTTGTCAGTTAGGGTATGTCTATACTAGCCCATGAGGAGTAACAGTTAATTCGAACTAAGGACTTAGTTCGAATTACCGTTTCACTGCTGCGTGTAGCTGCGGACAGTTACTTCGGACTAGTGGAATTTAAAAATGGAGACCGCACAGGAACATGCAAATAAAGCCCGGGGTATTTAAATCCCAGGCTTCATTTGCAACTTCAAATACGTACATTAGCCTCCCTACTTCGAACTAGGGGGCTAGTGTAGACATACCCTTAATGTTTTTGCTGAAGATTATATACTTTTAGTCTTCAGTGTTTTTGGTAAATTAAAAATCTAGAGTTAATCCATGACATTGATTTCTACATTGTACGTACACTGGACTTTAAATAGGCTGCATACAAATACTATTACAGTGCAATCTTAAAGACATTCTTTTCTTCAAATATGTGTAGGTCACAACACTTATGCTTCAAGATTTGCCTGGCTGTAGCCTCTCTACATTGTCAGAATGTATGAGTCTTCAGTTATTGACCCTGAGACGCTGTGGACTAACTGCACTGGAAGGACTCAGTAACTGCAAAAGCTTAAAGTATATTGATGTGGAGGTACCTACAATATTTTTAGGTATATTGATGTGGAAGTACCTAAAATATTTTACTGTCTGTATGCAGGTGGGTCAAGACTGACATCTCTACCATTCAGGATATTATGAGATAGAATCCATCTGTTTATCTCTGTGTGTACATATAGAACAAGATTTTTTTTTAAAGCATACCAAAAGTTAAGAACATAAGAATGGCCAGACTGGGTCAGATCAAAGGTCCATCAAGTTCAGTATTCTGTCTTCTGACAGTGGCCAATGTCAGGTGCCCTAGAGAGAGTGAACAGAACAGGTAATCATTATGTGATACCTCTCCTGTCATCCATTCCCAGTTTCTGGCAAACAGAAGCTAGGGATGCCATCCCTCCCCATCTTGCCTAATAGCCATTGATGGACATATCCTCTATGAAATCATCTACAGATTGGACCTCCCTGGTCCAGCACCACCAGGACCTGAATGGTCCTTGATGAGGGATTTTGGTGGACTAGTGAAGTCATTTCTGGCCCTACCTCTGCCCTGCCCCTCCATGGGTTTCCTGGCTCCCCCTGCAGCCCAGCTGACCTGCACACTGACTCTCAATCCTGACTCCCTCCCACTGCCCTGCTGAGCCACACGTTGCCCCTCCCCTCCGCATTGCATTGGGCTCCCAGCCCCCACACTCACTAAAGTGTTTCAGGATTCTCTGATCCTGGAATACCTGTGGACCACAAAGTTCTGTTTTATAGAGTGTGCAGCCTGTAATTCTTTTTTGAACCCTGTTAATGTCTTGGCCTTCCCAACATCCTCTGGAAAGGTGTGTGTTCTACAAGTTGACTTTGTATTGTGTGAAGTACTTCCTTTTGTTGTTTTAAACCTGCTGCATATTAATTTCATTTCATGACTCCTAGTTCTTGTGTTATTGAAAGGATTAAATAAATCTTCTTTATTCACTTTCTGTACACCAGTCATATAGATCTCTATCAGATTCACCCTTAAGCATCTCAGTTTTCTATCCTCTGAAAATTTTGCCACCTCGCTCACTGTCCATTCTTCCAAATAATTAATTTATGAATGTGTTGAATAGGTTTGGTCCCAGTATGGACCCTGGGGAATAACTCTAGTTCCTGCCTTTGTTTCTTATCTTTTAACCAGGTACCGGTCCATGAGAGCACATTCCCTCTTATCCCATGACAGCTTACTTTGTTTAAATGCCTTTGGTGAGAGACCTTCTCAAAGGCTTTCTAGAAATCTAAGTACACTATATCCACATATTTTTGACCCACTCAAAAAATTCTAGTAGATTGATTGTGTCATGATTTCCCTCTACAAAAACTCTCTTGGCTCTTCCCCCAACAAATTATGTAAGTCTGATAATTCTGTTTTTTACTATGTTTCAGCCAGTTTGCCTGGTGCTGGAGTTAAGACTTAACGGCCTGTAATTGCTAGGATCACTTCTAGAGCCCTTTTAAAAAAATGCCATCACGTTAGTTATCCTCCAGTCATTTGGACAAGATAGTCTCTTAAGTGCATAGCTACTATGTACACTTTATAAGTGGCCTAATTTTTCTAAAATTCTGAGACCCTAACCTCGTTCTTTGTCTTTGAGCCATAAACTAAGTTAAAGGAATAAAGTAAGATGCTAATCTACTGTATATATTGTTATAATTTTAAAGTATAGTTTAGAGATTTCAGAGGTAGAAGTAAATAGGCATAATCTCTTTTTCTGTCTCCGAGTATTTATCATGAATGGCCCTAGTGTGAGTGTGGATTTAAAGTGATAAATCTTTATTCCCTCTGTTGCATGGCTCTGCAAATTCTATTCACCCTCACAGTTTGTACGCTCTGCCTCCCTCACCTTAGGGACTAGGGCATTTAAGAGTAAGTGAGTGAGTGAGTAGGAGGTGAGGCTTTAGCCACATACCTCCAGCGTACTAGTCCAGATTGCTTGCCCACATGAGCAAGAAGCAGCACCAGCATTGATTTCTGAGGCACAGTCTCCCCAGTGCTGCTCCTGCAGGAAGTGGCATTGCACTGCTGCTAACATTGAGCCATGGCTTAAAATCTGAGTGAATAGAGAAAATGTGTCTTTATAATGTATCTCATTTAAAGACCTGGCAATCTACACAGAACAGATGGTTTTACCTTTTTGATTTTTAATGTTTTGATTATTTTATATCAATGCACTGGGAGAGTTCATACATTATGACTAACAGAAGACCTATTGTGCACAGAAGGTTTGAATGTTTCTTTTTTGCCAAATGACTACTGTTTGGTATGTGCTGTGATCATCTCAAAATTGAAAAAGGCATGTGCCAGGTCTGTTACAATGTTGTCTAGTGGTTAGAGTAAGACTCTGGGAGTCGACTCTTGTGTTCTTTCCCCAGTTTTGCTACTTATTAAAATAATTTTTGGCAAAACTGTTAAATGTCCACTAATTTAGGGTGCCTCAAATTTCAACACAAAAGGAGTACAAGGATTTTATGTATTTAGCTAAGCTGTTAATCTTTTTCTGACTGACATTTATAGGTGACTACATTTTATGTTAAGTGTTGCCTGTATTGTTACACACAAACTGGTTGTTTCTAAGCATTAAAAATGTTATTTTAAATATAGTATTACACTAATTGCTTGTTACAATAGTGCTAGGCTGGTAGTTGGGTGGCTTGATCCAGTGTTGGCTCCTCTGATAGATGACTTCCATTCAGAGCAGTTAAAAGTGCCTTTGTTTAGTATTAGCTGAAACAACAGAAGGTACTGACTAGATCATAGACCAGTGTGGCAAGGCTTGAATAGGAGATGAGCTATTTGGTTTGAGGATTTTTTGCATCTGTATGCCAACACGGGATTGAGTGTACACAGATTCCAAGATCAGGAGGGACCATTTGTTATCGTCTAGTCTGAACCACCTTAAAACACAGGTCATAAAACTGCCCCAAAATAATTCCTAGAGCGTTGTTGTTTGGTGGAGCCCTATGTATCTGTGAATCAGAAGCAGGAACAAAACCCATGCAGCCAGCAATTTGTATGTGGGAAACAAAAGCCAAAAGAGCTTTATAGTTAAAGTGGTGGCTGGTAAGAAGCTTGGAAATGTGAGCAAAGGAACTGCCTCCTGTTGTGTGCTTCCTACTGTATTCAGTGAAACAGGCCATGGCGTACGTGCTTTATCAATAGGATTACATCGAAGATGCCTGACTCAGCTATCAGTTTAGTCTCCTGATGGAAACACTCCTTAAGGACCCGAATAGCAGCCAACTGCTCAGACTAAAAATAGCTAACAGTACAGGTTGGACTGCATTGGTCCAGCACCCTCGGGAACGGACCAGTCCAGGAGGAGGGATTATGCTGGACTAGGGAAGGTAATTTCCTGTCACTGCCCCCCCGCCCCCCAGCCATTGCCTTACTGCCAGCCTCCCAGCCAGCTTCCATGCAGGGCTCCTGGTCCCATCATGGCAGCCCCTCTGCCGGCACACACAGCCCCACTGCCACACTCCAGCCCTATGGGGCAGCCCCCCTGCTAGGGTACAGTTGTGCCGCCAGGCAACAAGACTTGCTTGTGCTTCAGCTTTGCTGGGCAGCCCCGCTGCCTCCCGGCCTCACCAGGCAGCTCCACTGGGTAGCAGCTAGGCTGCTGGGCTTTTTGCTGAGCCACTGGGCAGCCCCTCTCCCCGGTTCCTGGCCCCGCTGCCAGGCAGCCCCATGGTCAGGCTCCCAGCCCGCAGGGAAGCCGCACTGCCTCACAGTCCCACCAGGCAGGTGAGCAGCTTGGCAGTAGTGTGGCTTCCAGGCTCCTGGTTGTGCTGTTAGGCATCCCTGCTGCCTCTTGGTCTCACTGGGCAGTTTTGCCATCTCCCCACGGTGTTGGCACTGGGTGGCAGTCCTACTGCTGGGCTCCTGGTTTTGCTGCCACAGAGCAGCCCTACTACTGAGCTTTAGCCCCACCGCAGGGCTCCCAGCCATCAGCCTGCCACTGGGACTCTCTGGTCCTGGGACATCCGTTGTCTTGCTGGACCAGAGAGTCCTGGTTAAGAAAGGTTCAACCTGTAGTTAAGTTCACAATATTTTTGAATGACTCATAATTATGCTTAACTTCATAGAATACTTTTCATCAGTAGATCTCGGGGGCTGTCTACACTGCACCCCTTTTCCAGAAAAGGGATGCAGATGAGACAAGTCGGAATTGCAAATGAAGCGGGGGATTTAAATATCCCCTGCTTCATTTGTATAAACATGGCTTCCGCTTTTTTCCGGCTCGGGGCTCTGCCGCTTTTTTCCAGCTTGGGGCTTTGCCGGAGAAAAGTGCCAGTCTAGACGGGATTTTTCGGAAAATAAAGCCTTTTCCGAAAGATCCCTTATTCCTCTTAAAATCAGGAACAAGGGATCTTTCGGAAAAGGCTTTATTTTCCGAAAAATCCCGTCTAGACTGGCACTTTTCTCCGGCAAAGCCCCAAGCTGGAAAAAAGCGGCAGCCATGTTTATACAAATGAAGCAGGGGATATTTGCAATTCCGACTTGTCTCATCTGCATCCCTTTTCCAGAAAGGGGGTGCAGTGTAGACACAGCCAAAGTGTTTTACACACTTTACTGTATTTTTCCTAACAAACATTTCTGTGAAATAGGGAAGTGTCCTTGTTTTTACATATGGGTATCTGAGTAACAGAGAGACTATATGATTTGTCCAGGAGCACACAGGAAGTCTGTGGTGAAATAGGGAATTGAGCTTGGGTCTGCCAAGTCATAGACTACAGCCGCTCCCTGAGTTATGAACAAATTACAGACCAACACTTGGTCCGTAACTCGAAGTGTTCGTAACTCGGATCCCATAGAGTTACATGGTGACCTCGCTGTTTGTAACTCGGATCCACATTTACTACCACTTTGGTTGTAAGTGCGGATGGTCGTAAGTGGAGGTGGTCGTAACTCGGGGAGCGGCTGTAGTTACCCAATCACTGGACTATTTTCCTCTCTCATTGAACTTCCAATACTTTTCTATTAAAAGTTATCTCCAATTTTACCTGTTTTCGTCTTTGTTGTAGGAAAACAATATTCAGACAATCAATTGTGAGAATCTAGAAAATCTCTGCATTTTAATTCTGAACAAAAACCAACTTGCATCACTTCATGGCTTAGATGGCTGCAGTGATCTCAGGAATCTTGAACTTTCCTGCAATAAAATCACACGAATTGGTAAGAAAACATTAAAGATGATGCATTTTATGCATATAATGTCAGTATTGTACATTTATTTTTGACTTGGTTTGGTTGAAGATAGAAAATGACCGTTGCCAATGCAGTAGTATTTATTTTTAATCCTGTAACAAGATATTATTCAGTACTAATGTCCTTATAATTGGGATGGAAAATGAGAAAAGCATATGTAAAATCTTACTGCCTTTGCAGATTGTGAATAGTTTAAATTTTCAAAAAAAAATGTTGAGTGGGTAGACAATGAAAAAAGAACTAAAAACTTGAAGGAAATGAGCTTGTTTTAGATGAGAAAGAGAAAAAATATACAAGAGAAATCCCTTGCCCTAGTTCCTCCTGCTAAGGATATCCAGGAGTTCTATTAGCCTGATGCTGGTACAGCAGGCCTCAATGTTTTTTCTGTAATGAAGGGGCAGTCAAGTGCAACAAAGTAGAAACAATTCTGATTCTGTTACATTGGAGTGGGGAAGAATGGATTCTTTGGTTGTCTACAGAAGAGTGAACCTATTCAATTGGTCAGAGGCAGTCTCACGTTTTCCCCCCAAAAGTAGCCACAATAATTGAAAGGGGGACAGAGATAAATCACCTTGTAATTACCTACCATGGTGACTCCAGTCACTAGGAAGCACAGGGTGATAGGTTCAACTCCCATCCTACTACCACCACCCCCGCCCTGCCCACCCTGGGAGTGACCAAACAGGCAACACAGGATAAGGGACCCTCTGAGGGTATGTCTACACTACCACCCTAGTTCGAACTAGGGTGGTAATGTAGGCAACCAGAGTTGCAAATGAAGCCCGGGAAAGTCAAATCCCGGGCTTCATTTGCATAAAGCCGGGCACCGCCATTTTTAAATGTCTGCTAGTGCTACACGCAGCACGGACTAGGTAGTTTAGACTAGGCTTCCTAGTCCGAACTACCGTTGCTCCTCGTTTCGAACTACCTAGTCCGTGCTGCGTGTAGCACTAGCAGACATTTAAAAATGGCGGCGCCCAGCTTTATGCAAATGAAGCCCGGGAAAGTCAAATCCCGGGCTTCATTTGCAACTCCGGTTGCCTACATTACCACCCTAGTTCGAACTAGGATGGTAGTGTAGACTTACCCTGAAGGTGGGAAAGTGGGGTGGGTTCTAGAATGGCCTAGTAGATAGAGCACTTGCCTGGGGAGAACAGGACTGGGTGCTTGAGCCCTGCCCCCACCCAGGGAGTGCCCGGACAGCAAACAAGGCCTTTCTTCCTTCAGAAATGCAACACAACAGGTAGATCTGCTGCTGAAACAGTTGTAGGCCCTGCTGTGTAGACTGGGTTATAGTGGAAGGTTGAGTTGTGAGGGCCACAAAGGTATATCTAGTCATTGGAATTCTTAACTGTTTCAAACCATGAGCCTCTGAGCCTTGCCAGTCACCAATTCTAGTGAAAATCAAAGTCTAGGTTTTGAATTAAAAGAAAATATTTTATTTGTGAAGCAATTCATCTTTTGTTTGGAGGAAAGTCATTTGATTTGAAGAAGTCGATGAAAGCAGTTGGTGGGTGAATGGTCATGCTCTTGAGTTGAGGTCAGTTCAAATGTATATAGTAACGTTTAGAATCAGAAGGAAGGTGCTTTTGAGGTGGTAAAGGAAATAAATTAAAATAAGGAATGAAATGAAAAACCAATGTTGTTGACAAATGAATCTCACACACATAAGGTCATTTTTAAAGTATTTATAGCAGCAATAGCGGAAGATTAGACAAATATGCAGGTATGGGAGATGAGAACCGAATTCCATAATAACCAAAGAAATGGCAAATAGGAAATATTAAACTTGAAATAATTAACACCACATAGATGGCTTGTAATAGTTTCAGTTTCAAAGCACTATTACTTTGTTGATTTTACATATTAAAGTATATAACCATAATTCATATTTCTGGAGACAGTGCCCTACAGTAGTGGTAAATGCTTGTGTTATTGTCGATTTAATATAAAAACCAATGCCAGCAGCTTAAGGGAAACAAACTGCAAGAAGCAATACTGAAACTTTATATTGATTTGCCAGTAATACTGTGTGAGATTATTTGTTTGGGATGGATTTCTTGTAGCATAATATCTACTAGATTAATGTGCAAGTGACATGATATTAATTGATGATCCTTAGTTTGAAGTATCTGTATACAGAGCAAATGGAATAAAAGCCTTCTATGCTATTTTTTATATACAATGAAAGTACTGTATTTACTGAGTGTGAAATGAGTTTGAATGAGAAAGTGGACATTGAAGAAAAAAACACATGGACTCTTGCTTTTCTCTCCTCAGGAACAGCTTTGAGGATGTCTGGGTAAACTAAATGAATAACATAGCTTTTTTTGTTTCACACAATAGCATATTGATGGCAAGAAATCTTATAGAATCACACAAAGATGGACTTGTTTTTTAAAGATGTTAATTTGCTTCTCTGATTTGTAAATCTAGCAGCAATTTTGAAAGTTGCACTGCTGTGTAGCATTCTTTTTTCATTCAATTTTAAATTATTCTAATCCATGAGTTTTCTCTTTTTAAGGGTTATTAATATATATGGCTGTAACAATTCTGTTTAACTTGTTGCAAGAAGTCTGCTAGATACTATTACTTTTGTTCTCACCAAAGTATAAAAGTGTGGGGGAAATGGCAGTTGGCAGAATTTGTTAAGAAAATAAATGGGGGTTGAGAGGAATGCCTTATTGCAAATGAGCATATCCTCTTAAAGGAGCATACTCACTGCTTGGGTGATTATACATATGTACTGTATATACAGTGAACTTTAGCATATGTATATACTTGGGAAGGACCTGGTGCATTAGAATATTTCTTATATTAATTACATATTTTAAAAAATCTTGTAAATTATTGGATTAATAGATTCCACATCCAGAAGGGACAATTGTGATCACCTAGTCTTGTCCTCTGTGTAACACAGGCTGTAAAGCTCCCCCTAAATCCTAAAGCATATCTTTTAGAAAAAAAAAATTGATCTTGATTTATAAATTGCTAGTGATGGCAATTCTATATCTTTTGGTAAATGGTTAATTCCTCTCATTGTTAAAAAAGATATGCTTTATTTCATTCTGCATTTGAGTTGCTTCAACTTCTAGCTATTGGATCATGTTGTTAGACTAGGGGTTCACAAATTTCTTTGCGCAGTACTTTCCCCTCCCAGCTTCAGACTACAAATATTACTTTGTGACCCCAGGAGTAGGGAATCAAAGCCTGAGCCCTTCCAAGACCCACTGCCCTGGGTCGGTGCCACTCCAGGTAGCGGTGGGAAGGGCAGGGCAGAGCAAAGCTAAAGATCAAGGACTTCAGCCCTGGATAGGTGCCTGTAACCTGAGCCCCATCACCCAGAGCTGAAGCCTTTGGGCTTTGGCTTTGAGTCTGGGCAGTGGGTCTTGGGCATTAGCCCTGGGCCTCAGTAAATCTAAGCCAGACTTGGTGATCCCATTCAAACGGGGTCATGACCAGTGTTCCCTTTAAGTGGGGCAGCAGCACAGCTTCACAAGTGATTAATCAGCCCTGCCCAGTCAGTGGCTCAGGGCTCCATGCAAGGAGCTGACTGACTGGGCGGGGCTGATTAATCACCTGTGAAGCTGTGCTGCTGCCCCACTTAAAGGGAACACTGATCATGACCCCGTTTGAATGGGGTTGGGTCCCAGATAACAGAGCAGAAGTCTCCAACCTTTTTAAGCACAAGATCACTTTTTGAATTTAAGTGCAACTCAGGATCTACCTCAAACCCAAGTACCGCCTCCTTCGTGCTTCTTCTCAGAGGTCCTGCTCACTCCATCCTCCCTCCCTTTCACCAGGCAGGGTCAGAGGGTTGGGGCATAGGCTCTGGTCTTGGGCTAAGGGATTTGGAGTCTGAGAGGGGCTCTGAGCTGAGCCTGGGTCAGGGAGTTAGGAGTGTAGGAGGGCGTTCAGGGTACAGGCTCTGTAAGGGAGTTTGAGTCCAGGGAGCTCAGGACTAGGACAGGAGCTTGGGGTGCAGAAGAGGGTTCATGACTGGGGTAGGGGCTTGGAGCTGGCTCTAGCTGGTCACTGCTTACCTCTGGTGGCTCCTGGGTCTTGATGCAGTAGGGCTAAGGCAGGCTCATCCCTGCCCTGCCTCTTCCCCACTCCAAAAGCAGCCAGCAAACACCCTCCATCCCAGTCCTTGTTGTGCCCCTCTCCATTCTGTGAAGATAGAATATAGGATGCGAGGGGGGCACCATGACATAAGCGCCCCTCCTCTCCCTTCCCTGCTCTGAACAGCAAGCAGGAGGCTCCCGAGGGTTGGAGGAGGCAGCTCCAAGGCAAAGGGCAGGAGGTGCACAGCAGTGGGGGGAGGGACAGCTGAAGTGCTGGCACTTGATAGCTACTTGGCCAAACCAGTCAGGATCACCTGTCAGAAGCTCCAACATCTACTAGTAGATCCTGATCTACTAGTTGGTGACCACTGAGTTAGAGATAGGTATAACACAATAGATTCTCAGTGTTCTTTCCTGATTTCTCATAGCCAAATTAGCCCCCATCATACTGTACGTATAAGTTGGGGTTATTTTTCCCGATGTGCATTACTTTACACTTATCCACATTAAATTTCATTTGCCATTTTGTTGCCCAATCACTCAGTTTGTTGAGATCTTTTTGGAGTCCCTCACAGTCTGCTTCTGTCTTGACTGTCCTAAACAGTTTTGTATCATCTGCAAACTTTACCACCTCACTGCTTACCCCTTTCTCCAGATCATTTATGAATAAGTTGAAAAGGATTGTTCCCAGGACTAACCCTTGGGGGACACCACTAGTTACCCCTCTCCATTCTGAAAATTTACCATGTATTCCTACGCTTTGTTTCCTGTCTTTTAACCAGTTTTCAATCCAAGAAAGGACCTTCCCTCTTATCCCATGGCCACAAGAGCCTTTGGTGAGGGACCTTGTCAAAGGCTTTCTGAAAATCTAAGTATACTATATCTACTGGACCCCCTTGTTTGCATGTTTGTTGACCCCTTCAGAGAACTCTAATAGATTAGTAAGACATGATTTCCCTTTACAGAAACCATGTTGACTTTTGTCCAACAAATTATGTTCTTCTACATGCCTCACAATTTTATTCTTTACTATTGTTTCGACTAATTTGCCCAGTACTGAAGTTAGACTTACCAGTCTGCAATTGCCAGGATCGCCTCTAGAGCCCTTTTTAAATATTGGTGTCACATTGGCTCCCTTCCAGTCATTAGGTACGGAAGCCGATTTAAAGAAGAGGTTACAAACCACAGATAATAGTTCAGCAATTTCCCATTTGAGTTCTTTTAGAACCCTTGGATGAATGCCATCTGGTCCTGGAGATTTGTTAACATTAAGTTTTTCTATTTGTTCCAAAACCTCCTCTAATGACACTTCAATCCAGGACAGTGCCTCAGATTCATCATCCACAAAGGACGGTGCAGATTTGGGACTCTCGCTAATATCCTCAGCCGTGAAGACTGAATCAAAGAAACCATTTATTTTATCCGCAATGGCTTTATCAACCTTGATTGCTCCTTTTATATCTCGATCATCTAGGGGACCCACAGGTTTTTTAGCAGGCTTCCTGCTTCTAATGTACTTAAAAAATGTTTTGTTATTTCTTTTTGAATTTTTGGCTAGCTGTTCCTCAAAATCTTTTTTTGCTTTTCTTATTACATTTTTACACTTGATTTGACAGTGTTTATGTTCCTTTCTATTTATCTCATTAGGATTGGACTTCACTGTTTTCATATTACTAAAAGCAGCTCTGCTTATAGAGTGGTTTTCACTTCTGCCTATTTTATTCAGACATATGTATATGGTCACAGAATACCTTTATTCATGCACTGCCATAACTGATATCCCATCATGTCTTTTGTGCTGATTCCTTGTCAGTGCCCATGAAAAATATGACTCACAAACAAATCATTACTATTTCTTCAAGCATGAAAGGTCTCCTGCATTGTACAAAGCATAGAAGACATGTTCTTGTCAGAGCCAAGGTTCATCTTGTCTATTACTCTGTCTTTTGACAGTTGCCAATGCCAGGTGCTTCAGAGGGAATGAACAGAAGGGACAATCCATTTCCCTGTCATCCACTCTCTTTACACTCTGAATAGTGCGAAGTACATAGTCACCTAACATTTGTGATGAGTTTTAACTTTGCATGTGTATGCAATACAGCCCGTATTACATATATATTATAGTACTGCCAAGAGGTCCCAAAGTAGATTGGAAAAGCCATTCTGCTAAGCTTATACAAACAGAGTGAGTGACAGTCCAAACAGCTTAGAAACCTAATAGACAAAATAGGCAAGACAGACACAGGGCTTGCAATCTTAATAAATGAGGAAAAAAGAACAGAAAGTGAAGTGACTTTTCAAGATCACATAGAAGGGTAACAATAAGGCTGGAAATAGAGCCCTGGTCTCTCGTCTCATGCAAACCTTTGTAGAGGTCCCTTTTGCAGATCCTTCACCTCTTTGAATCCAGTGCTTGTCTTTTTTAGAACGTTGACTTTGGTATTCAGAAATAAAAGCTTTAATGGAAAAATAGTGTTGAGACAAGTTCTTGCAGCTGTTAGTTTTTAGAACCGTCTGAAATGAAACTGTGCTCAATCCACTAGATGGTGCTCATCTCCTTTATAAAAAGGAAAATTAAAAGGGAAAAAAATCCAGAAAAAGCAGCTTGAAGTCTCATGTAGTATGTGACAGACATATTTGAAATTTTTTCAGTAATTAATATTGAGTAAGTTAATTTCTTAAAAGTGTGGATGGGAATAAATAAAGTGCTTTCAGTAGACCAGTTGGCTTGACTTTAGTATCAGTTTAATATCTGATTTTTTTCCATTTTCAATTATTATTCTAAGTCCTAAGCTGTATAAATTCTTAATGTAAGATGAATAAATAATATTTTTTTTTACTTTGCTTTTCCCTTCATCTTTACTCTTTACTCTTCTTTCTCCATACACCCTCTGTACCTATAACAGGGCTCGACAAACAATACAATCTACTCGCCCATGGCAAGTAGGGTTCAGCAAGCCCTGCTTCTCTCTCTCTCTCTCTCTCTCTCTCTCTCTTTATATATATATATATAGGAAGCCCCGGAGATGCTTCAAGGGAGCAACAATGTTCAGAACTAGGGATGTAAAATTTCGATTAGTTGATAAGGGTGCTTCTGCTTTTGAAGTGTAGCTTTAAAAGGGAGAGCACAGGGCCAGCAGGGGATAAGCATTTGCTTATCAGATAGTCAACTAGTCGTTCACATCCCTACTCAGAACAAGTGAGGAGGCAAATGTGCCCAGAGCCATTACAGATGCACAAGTCCGGTCCATCTTTCAGATTCCCTGGGTTCCGCAAGATTGTGGGAAGAACCTGGTCTTGTTGCACTGCCAACACAATGATTTGGGGGCAACTCTAGGAGAGAAATCCTATAGGTTGTAACTGTGGGATGGCTGTGATGGCCTAAATTTTGCTTTTTGTACCACCTGTTAGAAATGCTCTTTAAAAATATGGTAGTTGTAGGTATAGTTCAAAATATATGTTTACGGATACTTCACCTTTCTTACGACTTTTTTTTATTGCTCTTTCTTATACAATGCATACCATCGTTCATATCCATGCTGACTGGCCTGCGTTTATTATAGTGATATGATTAATTCTTCTGGTTACTTTTAAAAAATGTGAATTCAGATATTTCATTGAAGTGAGATGATTAAGTTTATGCTCTTAGTAGAGATTTTGACTTGGTGGCTAGCATTTTGTAGATACCACAGGACCTTGACTAAGTATACTCTCTGCCTTGGGTATTTAGTAACTTCTCTAATCACAGCATTATAAGAACAATTTACCACATGAAGCATGTCCAGTTACAACACTTTGACAATGTGATGTACTCAGGGAATGCTAAGCTAATTTGGTTTCTTGTTTAATTAATAGGATCAGATGTCTGCTATTTTTGTGTTCTGAAAATGATTGTTTAAAATGCTTGAAAAACATGGAGATAAATATAAAATTAACCAGTGTTTACAACAATTCTGAGGTATTTTAAAGCCTTTAATAAAAATTGAGTGTATTAATTTTTATATATAAAATATGAACCTGTTACAATCTCAGTGTGTTTTATGTTTTAAAACCAGCACAATTTTAATCATATTATGATTTAATACAGGTTAAAAACATGAGATTTCCTTTTCAGGTGGTTTGGAGTCATTGAAAAATCTCCAGCAACTAATTGTGGATCACAATCAGTTAGTCAGTATGAAAGGTCTCTGTGATGCTCCCACTCTCATGCACATAGACTGCTCTTTTAATCATCTTACTCAGCTTGAAGGCATTGAGAATTGTGGTCTGCTTCAGATTCTGAAATTACAAGGAAATAATCTAACGGAGGTAAAATCCATGAAATAAATGAGCTGGTTTTTCATACCAGGCTTCTCTGACATCAGTAATACAGTCCATGATGCTGATGATACTACTTATTTCTTCAGGGGCAGATGTACCTAGGGCCTGCTATAGGAGTTTGGTGTCAGTGCCCTTTGTACCTCTGAAAATCTCCCCCTTAGTGCAAAAAATGGAAATTAAATACTATCATAGGTAGTTTTCAGTTTGTTATATGCTATTTTTTTAAGTTGGTCAAACTGCTATGATCACTAAAGGTAAAATGAGCCCTGCATTAGACATATTTCCTCCAGACTTCAGTATGGTATAATTTTCATGGGTGATAACTGCCTATAGCTTAAATGGAATCGTGGCTTACAGCTCTCATAATGAAGCCCCAGTTGGCTACTTGAACATTTAGTCACCCTTGTTGGCACTGGCTTTTAGATGAAGCTGAGGCAAAAGCCACTTGTCAATAAATCATAAGTCATTGCAAACATGAAAAAGTAAGAATTTATATATTGCTAATTTCAAATGCTGTGAGATACACTGAATGTTCAGACTATGCACAAAGCACAGAAAAATGTTAGCATTAATAAAGCATATCTGTAATAGTGTTTAATAATATATTCAAGAAAAGCACTGAAGTATTCAATTTTTATTTATATGCAATCAATTGTTATTTGAAAAATAATAGCAAAAATAACTTTTCTATATTTAGCTCCCTACCTTGGAAAATCATGTTCTGTTAAGAGAGCTATACTTGGATGACAATAGTATTTCACATATGGAAACATTTTCTTTGTATTGGCTGCCTATGCTGGAGATCCTTTCTCTGTCTCAAAATAGGTAAAGTAGAAACTTTTTCTATTCAAGCAATTTAACACAGAGATATTTACAAAATGATGTTCTCTTGTGAGTTTTAGATATAAACCTGTGTGTATTATCAAGCACTATAAAGGCCAGCTCTGCTGTACTAGTCAAAGCGGAATTCTTGGGATATTGTTCTTTGAAAAAGCATATGTAGCAGCTATGGTGTAAACCTTTTAGACAATTTTTAAAATAACAATGATCATAAAAAGTGAATTTAAAAATATAATTATGGTAATGCTGTGGCACTGCTAAAAACATGTTAATGATATTCTACCTTACTTCCGAAATAGAATTATTACTAAAGCTCTCTGTCCTACTTCTATCATAGGGATCGGTTTACTCCAAATATTGGACCTAACACTTCACACTCTATCTGAAATAAACAGTGCTAATTAAAATGTTCATCAAGATACTAACTTACATTTCTGTGTACACATTGTGTTGAAGTGTCAAAAAAAGGATTTTCAAGTTGCTTATCAGCCCTATTTTTTCATTATTACAGTTCAATTTTATTTAAGGTTAAAAAAATGAAATAGTTTTTTTCTTATTATTTCTAAGCAATACTAATTAAAAATTTCCTATAGCTCTCAGTTTGGCAATCTGTGTTTTATGGGAATATAGTGACCACATGGTCAGGGTCAAAGATTGACTACCTTTTTTAAGTAATTACTTTAAAATTTGAGTCTACTTCAGTGTAGGAATGTTAAATGTAGATTAATTAACTAATCGAATAGTCAATGGGCAGGGCCAGACTGGCATGGGCGAGCTAGGCAGCTGCCCAGGGCGCCAACCGATGGGGGGTGCCTGATGGCAGCTGTAAGGGGCGTGCAGCGTCCTTTACAGCTACCATCAGGCACCACGCACCCGGTTCCCGCAGCACCGGCCCTGCGGCTCCGGCCAGCAGCATCCTTCCCTCCATGACTGCAGGACCCTGCATGGCCCGGCGCGCGTACCAATAGCGCTGCCCACAGGGAACGCGGGACCAGTGGGGAACTGGCCCACACTCTCTGAGGTGCCTGAGCATTTGAAATGTACAGGTGCCCCACTGTGGTTCTTGTACATTTCAAAAGGAAATGCCGCAGGGAGTGTGGGGCTAGTTCCCCCCCTGACCCCACACTCCCTGTGGGGCTTCTGCTTTTGAACTGCCCTTGCTACAATTCAAAGGCAGAGGTGCCCTAATATACTAATTGAATAGTTCATGGAAATCCCATTGACAGGGCCGGTCCGAGCCCTTTTCAAAAGCAGAATCGTAGCAGAAATGGTGCGAGCAGAGACTGCTTCAGTCCCTGCTCACACCGTTTCCTGCTATGCCTCTACCTCCCATGCCCCTCCCGCAGAGACAGTACTGGGGGGAACCGGCTTTTAAGCCAGCTCCCCCCCCCCTTGCTGCCTCTCTCTGATAAGAGGCACCAAAGGGGGGGAAGCGACTAGTCACATCACTAGTTGACTATCGAATAAGCTTATGCTTATCGGATAGTTGACCAATTGTCTAGCTGCTTTCATCCCTACTTCAGTGCATGAACAAAGGCAACAAATAATATTTATAATTCTGGATATTTCTAGTTTTCTGTATTACTTTTTACAAACTCACAAGATTCTGTGTGTTTGTTTTTCTTTTGTGTTTATTTTTGAAACAAGTAGTTTCTGAATAGGAAATGTATTTTACTAGCTTGCATCACTGTTTCAGATGTTTTATAAAAGATTTTTGTTAGCATGTTGCCTTCTAGTCATAATGTAGAGTATAGGTCTACAGATATTTGTATACCATATAGATTGTCATTTTTCTACTAGAACTCTCATTCAAAGAGGGACCCTGGTGGCTCCAGTCAGCACCCCTGACTGGGCCACTAAAAGTCCAGTCAGTGGCACAGTGGGGCTAAGGAAGGCTCTCTATCTGCCCTAGATTTGCTCAGTTCCCAAAATGTCAAGCATGTAGGTGGAAGGGCCAGAGATCTCTGCCCCTGCTCTGAGCACCAGCTCTGCAGTTCCCATTAACAGGGAACTGGGAATTTCCAGTAGTCGCTTGGGGTAAACACTACCTGTAGCCCACACTTCTTCCTGTTCTCCAACCCCTACCCCATCCCTGAGCTCCCTCCTTTACCCAAACCCCTCAACTCTGACCCTACCCCAGAGCCTACACCCCTAGCCAGAGACTTTACCACCTCCCACGCCCTGACTCCTTGCCCCAGCCCTGTGAAAATGAGTGAGGGTGGGCAAGAGTGAGTAACAGAGGGAGGGGAAGACTGGACCTTAGAGAAGGGGCAGTGTAAGGGTGTTCATTTTGGGGTAGTTAGAAAGTTGGCAACCATAATGTGGGGTTTGGGTTCCAGGTGAGAGTCAGGGTGTGAAAAGGGGCTCAGGGCAGGGTATGTTCAAAATAGGTTGCCCTCCTGAAAATATAAGGCAATGCTAATGAATTATTACTTTCACACTAAGCAGGGTTCTGTCATAAGTGGGGCATAATGCTTTCTGTGTCTAAGAGGAGTCAATTGGCTGTGGTTGTGGGGAGATGTAAATAAAAAATAAGTCTAGAGACACTTTAGTTTGGAAAGTCAAAATGCCCCTTAAGTTTTACAGGTCACCTATAATGTAGCAACTTGCATATGAAATTGCAAGGCGTGCAATGTGGCTATGCCAAAATCTAGATGTCTCTCTTGATCAAACTTTCTGGAGACACTGCTTCATGTCTGTAACTAACATGAGCTTTGTTTATGGGCAGTAGATGTTGATTTACTCTTATTTTGATAACTCAGATTTCCCCGGACAGTAGTCTCTATTATTATTCTTCTGTTTACTTCATGTCTTTTCTGTTCTCTAATTGGATTCTATGAAACTCCCATCAAAGCGGTAGCTGAGACCTGAATTTACAAAAGTACCACGTCATCTAACCCCAGATTTAGATTACTATATTTGGATTTGGGTGATGTTAAGTCCCTGTGTTAGGCTCTACCGTGAGTCAGAAAAATCCTGCTCAATGCTTTGTACATAAACTCACTTGGTACTGACATTTTCAGGGTAAAAGTGCTTCTGGCTGTGTGCACTTCTACTTCTCTTTAGATATTCAGATTCATAATCTGGGGAAGATAGGCATTAAGCTGCCTAATTTATGAATAGGGCCCAGTCTGGTTAGAATGCTCAGACGCTGTCTTCCAGATTGTGTCCCATTCAAAGTCTGGCTTCAGGACAAGATGATGGTGATGAACTTTGGGCCCAAGTGGTTAGAGTACTCTGCTGGCATGTGGGAAATGTGAGTTTGTTCTCTCCCCGCTCTCCCCACTGCCAAAGAAGAAGAAAGGATTTGAACATGGGTTGCCCATCCCTCACGGGAGTGCTCTAACTGCCAAGCTTATGGGATAGTCCCAGTGTGAAGCTCTCTTTTTTGAAGATGTGCTACTTTGGATAAGGAGTCATTGGAGCAGAGAGACTGGATGCTGGGTCTTCTACCCCCCAGGTGAATGCTCTAAGTAACCAAGCTACAGAGTCCTAGTCTCTCTCAGCACTGAAGACTCTCTAGTATTTGAAAGAGTTCCACTGTGTATAAATTCTTAAGTCACAGAGTGGGAAAATGACTGAACTACAGCTTGGTAGTTAGGGTATTACCCAAGAGGTTGGGGGACCCTTGGTTTAGTCCTCTTGCTCCAATCATTGTTCAGTTATTTATCCAACGGAAACAACTTCAGCAGGGCTGTGAATGGGGAAGGGGAAACAAAAGGGAAAGTTGCTAAAGGGCCCAGTGATTTAAAAGGGCCTGAGCTTCTGGGCTGCTACCGCGGTAGCAACAGCCGAAGCCTCAGGCCCTTTTAAATTGCCTCTGGAGCCCCATGCAGCATGGTCTTGGCAGTGCTGAGGCCTGCTTGTGGAAGGCTAATCCCTAGCACTACCACTTCTGCCTATCCCTTCCTGGGGACCTGGAGCAGAGCCCCTCCCCACATTGTCTAGGACCTGGCGAAGTCTGTTGACAGCTTTGAGTAGGAGAGACTGAGGGAATATGATCTCAAACTATCCTATAGCTCAATAGTTGTAGCACTCTACAAGTGAGTGAATTGAACATGGGTGAGTCTCTATCTAGTGGGCTAATGGTTATAAGGTAGGAACCTCCTCCAGCTCTTTTTGTGGAGTAAGGCTCTTGCCTAATTCATTCTCATAAGGCACATCTTAGGCATCTCAGCTGCCTGACTCTGAGAGGGGGTTCCTCTTTGTGAATAGCTAAGAAGGAGATGCACCTCCCAACAACCTGGAGCTAGACATCTACCTGCTTAGAGGGCTGGGCTATGTCTACACTAGCAACTTGTTGTTCAAGAACAGCCATTCTTGCTCAAAAAATGTCCTGCTATCTACATTGCATGTGCGTTCTTGCGCAAGTAAATGTACAGTGTAGAATTGTAAAACAGGGCTTCTTCTGGGAGAGTTATTCCTCTCCCCACGAGGAATACACTCTCTTGCACAAGAGCTCTTTCACAAGAGGGCAGTGTAGACAGGCAATGTGAATTTCTTGTACAAGAAAGCCCTATTTAACCATTTTAAATATGGTTAAAATGGCCATCAGAGCTTTCTTGCGCAAGAGAGTATCCACACTGCCATGGATGCTCTTGCACAAAATCACATCTCTTGTGTAAAAGCACATGCCATTGTAGACATGCTTTTGTGGAAGATCTTTTGCGCAAGAACTCTTCCGCAAAACAGTTCTTGCGCAAGACGCTACCAGTGTAGACGTAGCGTGTTTAAATTGGCATCGCCTGTCAGCTATCTTAGACATCTGCCTGCCTAGTATGCTGTTTTTTGTGAATTGCATTCTAAGGTGTTCATCTCTCTCCGCGTTCATCATATAGGAGTCTAGATGCCTAACTCAGGCTTGGTGAAAAAAAATTAGAAAACAACAAATAGTCCTTCAGCTAGAGACAAAAAATGTAGATAGTATCATAAGCTTTCGTAGCTTGATGAATCACAGTGTGTTCCTGTGATTTTTCTAGACACCT